TTTGGGGTCCCCGGTGCCCTCCACAGTGTTAGGCCCCCCACGTGCCTAGGGTCTGGGCTGTAGCTGTCCTCACCTGGGCCTGTCCCTACCTGGCCGAGCCTTCACCCGCCTGCTCATGCCCGAGTCCCCATCAGGTGCCTTTGCTGGACCTCTGCTCTCTGGCCTGCTGCTTTCCAGTGTTTCGCTTTTAATCGTAAGAACTTGCTCCATCTGTGTTTGCCTGAAATAGTGGGAAGAACCCCCGACTGTGGCCCACACCTCAGAGCCCTCCTGCAGGTGGGACGGAGACCCGGGGAAGGGCCGCATGCAGCCCCCAGCCCTGGGTCTGGTCCGGAGTGAGGAGGACTCTGCCCTTCCTCCTTAGGCACCCCCTGTTTACCTTTGCCTGTTGGGGTGGGGGCGGAACCCACCTGTACAAGGGGCCTGGCAGCTGCTGGTTAGAGGAAGTTGGACCCCGGGGAGGGCGCCCCAGGGACCCGATTGGCAAGGGGCTTCCCACGCGGTCTGTGTGTGGAGGAGAGGCCTTGACTCCCTGGGCAGTCCCTGTCCCTCTAGTGCTCTGGCTGGGAGAGGAGACACTACTGTGTGTGTGAGGTTTGGGGACCAGCTGCAGGGGATACATGTGCTTTTGGCTCCCTCCACTGGGTGTTACCCCTTACCTGGTTCATTGGGCTCAGACCCACAACTGTCCACCCTGCCAGATCCTGTGTTTACACCTTGCTCACGGAGGGTCCATCTGTGAAGATTATAGACCATAGAGGATAAGTGCTGATCTGCAGGGCCAGGCAGGATGAGTGTCTCAGGGCTCTGAGGGATGGATAGGAGTTTTCTAGGGGAGGTACAGAGACATGGTGACATCCTGAGTACCTCCTTCACTGCAGGCACAGCCATAAGGATTTCCACACACTGCATGGCAGCTCACTGGGGTCCACGGTGTTACTACCCCCATGTTATATGTGGGGAAACTGAGGCACAGTGTAGCTTCCTAAATAGCCCATGAACCCAGGTAGAAAATGACAGAGCTGGGGTTTGAACCCAATAGACTGGCTCCAGAGTTCTGCTCTTTGAGGCCCCTCTGTGCAGCTGCAGCAGGTATGTATGTGGCTGGGTATTAAGGGGCCAGCTGTGGCCTCAGGGGCTAGTGGGCACTCATGAGAGCAGTCTTCTGAGGATACTGAGAGTGACCCTTCTGAGAGCTGGACACAGAGGCTAGCTATTGGAGGTGGGCTGGAGAAGGTGAGAGAAGCTGGGGGCCAGGACTGGGTGACTGAGAGCAGAGGCACCCTTAAATTAGGAAAGGCCCTGGTTTCATTCTGTAGGAAGTGTTGGGAGGAGAAATCCATGGGCTGCTTCTGGGAGGGTCTGAAATGGGGGCTCAGCCTGGTCAGGACCCTGGTGGGGGTGGTTGTGGGGGATGGACTGGTGGGCACGTGGGGGCTCAGGAAGATGTCCTTTGGAAGAAGCCAGCCTCCCTTGGCCTTGCCTGCAGCAGACACACCACAGGGGCATGGGCTTGTGGGGGGCTGAGGTCTTGGGAGCAGGCATGGGGCACAGGGAGGCGGAGGCCGGCATGACTGACCCTTTGAGGCGGCAGGTGTGCATCCCCTGTGCCATGTGTGTGCTGTGGACCCGAGTGTAGCCTGCACCTGCACCTGCACCTGCACCTGCACCTGTACCTGCAGCAGCTTTGAGGCCGGGCTGGTCCTAGCTTTCTCATGAGGCTACCTGTCCTGACACCCTGTGGTTTGGCCCCTGAGGGCCTTTGCTCCTTTCACAAAGGCTCCCTTGAGTAGGACACCTCTAGGGCCCCCACTCCTGTGGTCCCTCCTTCCAGGTTAACCCTTTCCTGCTCAGCCAGGGGCTGAGAACACCGAAGGGAAATGCTGCTGTCCCTGGGCACAAGTGCCTGCCCCCTGCCCGCCTTGCCCCTCTGGTCCCCCTTGGACTGCCATAGGTCCAGCCCTGGGTCCTGCTCTCCAGAATGTGCATGGAGGGTGACCATGGAGGACTTGTTGGAGGCACCATGCTAGGTGCAGTGGCTGAGCCTGGATGTGGGGGGCTGGGATAGGCCAGGAGAGATTGGGGAGGGGGAGTCCTGAGGGCCTGGAAGGTGGAATTGCTGAGGCTGAGTGGAGCTGGAGGGGATGGGGGAGTGCAATCATTATTACTGTGTACCTCTTTAGTCAAGTAATCCGTGAATATATTCTTTTTTTTTTTTAATTCTCACCTGAGGATATGTTTTTATTGACTTTTAGAGC